TTTTTGGTTTGGGAGGGGTGTGTGTGTGTGTGTGTGTGTGTGTGTGTGTGTGTGTGTGTGTGTGTGTGTGTGTGTGCGCGCATGCATATGTGTATATATTTATGTATGTAAGTGCATATATATATGTGTTTGTGTATATGTGTGCATGTGTGTGTACATATGTTATATATGTGTGTTTGTATATGTGTTTGTGTGCATGTTTATATATGAGTATGCATGTGTGTGAATTTTAAGCTTTTTTTCCTGTGAAGAATGTCATTGGAGTTTGGTGGAGATTTCATTGACTCCCAAGATTGCCCTTGGTAGTGAAACCATTTTATAATATTTTCTGCATATTCATGAGTGTGGGATCTGCAAAATTAATATTATTCTTAGTATCTTATTTGTTGTTAGTATTTTAAAGATTTTTAATTATAGAATTCCTTGATTTCATTAACAAGGTTTATGCCAAGGTAATTAAAGAAGCTACTATGAATGGTATTGTTTTCTTGATTTCTTCCTTAACATATTGATTATTGATATCTAGGAAAGCTATTGAGTTTTGCATGGTGATTTTGTATCTTGCTTCTTTGCTGAAAGTATCAGTTCTAAGAATTTTTTCTTGTGAAGTCTGCACAGTTTCCTATTTTACTTTGCAACCGAAATGCTTTCCCTCATCTTGAATTTCATAGGATAGTTGACCCTGAGCTAGCTCCATTCTCAGAGAGTCTACACATCTATGTATGGTTGTCATCCACTGTAGTATTTCCAATATATCTTATTTTGATGCCTGTTGAAGTAACTTTCAGGCATTACCTTACTTCTCTTCCAATATTTCAGCAAGTATATCACTAACTAGAGTTCAGTACTTTTCTTCATTGTCTTATATTTATATGCTTTCATTCCTAAATCTCCATGACTTTCGCAGATGAAGTTGGAAGCTTTGACTTGAATGTGTAGTATTGCAATGCCTTAGAAACTTCTTTCAAAGCCCTTTATGCATTTCACAAGTAAAAATTCATAGAATATGTTGTTATTATACTAAAAATATTTTTGTTGATCTGAAATTCAAGTTAAGCCCCAAACCCTATATTTTATGTGGCAGGCCTCCTTTATAGTAAATTTCAACCTTGCTGTCTTAAGTCAAACATCATTCTAATGTTTTCCACCATAGATTTTGCTTTCAAACAAGTCCCAATACATCTCTGTATGTAAAAACCGCGTTCTTTTTATTTCCTAATGAGATTCTTTAATACACTCATGAGAGTTTATTATCAATTCTACATATTGAGCTTTCTCCACTTTTAGTCTATTATAAACAAATTGTTATGTACAAAAGCATAGAGACATTCCATAGCTTTCAGTTACATTCTGAAAAAAATTCAAATTTCTTAGCATATATTTGTCCTTTCTTACAGTTCTCTAGTCTCCCTCCTGCCACTCTTTCTTCATGGTTCCCTTTATCTAGTCACCTTTAACATCAATTGATTTTCTGTGACTCCATCCATGACAAGAAGCAGTTGGTTGATTTGACTTACAATTTGAAGAGATGTTGTTCATCCTAGTGGGGGAGGCACAGTGGTGTGAGCGTGAGGTGTCTGGTTTCAGTGCATCTGAATTCAGGAAGCAGAAAGTGGACAGCAAGTGGAGTGGGGCTGTGACACTTGAAGAGCTGTCCTGCTTCTTCAGCAAGGCTTCACCTCCTAAATACTCCCCAAGCTTCCAAAGAGCACCACCACCTTTGGGGAACAAATGGTTGAAAATCATAAGGTTGTATGGGACATTTCCAATTCAGATTACACCATCCCTTCAGGGGCCTGAAATTTTCATGCCATGCTCACGGGAGTTTATTGTCAGCTCAGTGGAACATTGTCTCTTCTTACTCATTTCTGACATACTTTGCCCTACATACTGCAATAGGGCCATACACATTTCCCCTAACCTCTCTGGGCTTCACTCTGTCACCGAAACATCTGGGGCACAGAATAATAATTATTTTCTGAGAGAGTTATTATAAAGATTAAGTCAGTTGATACTTGGAAGCATTTTAGCCTGGCACAGTGAGGCTAACTCAGTGTTTTGTAACCTGCCTCTGAGTATCGTGGATTTCTAGAAGTTTACACTAGTTGATTTATAATGAATACTAAGAAGAGAAAAAACTAATCTTAACAGCAACATGGAGAGATAATAGAGGGGGAAAAGTAAGCAGAGAGGAAAAGAGCCTAGCAATATCCCCATGAGTGGGGTAAATGATAGCTGAGGTAATTCTGGTAGGAATTGAACATAGGGGATAGATTCAAAGTACTATATTTTAGAAGCAGTAGTATGAATGATTATCTAAGAGGAAAAAACACATATCAGTGACCATGGGTGTCACACAGTTTGGTAAATGGTTCAGAAAATAGATTGGCTTTGGTAGGAAATAGTGTTAGTTTTAGATACAAAAAATTAAGGATGCTAACAGGAAATTGTTGGAAATAACTATGATGTTACCAAAATGCATTTTCTTTTTCACTTCTAGGCAAGAACTGGAGACCAGAGAAGGATCTGGTAACACCGCCATGGACTTCTCAAATCTAATTACAATTTCTTACTCACATAATGTTGGGGTTTTGCATCATCTTTTACAAAATTAGGCATATTTAATATTCATCAGCTATGTTGCTTAATTTTGTTACAGGGTATAACAAAATTATTTGAAATTTCCTAGCAGAGTGATTATTTTCAGACTAGAATTACTCACCAGGAGAAATAAATTGATCTCAAGTTAATTTGTTGTCTCTGCATTTTAAAAGTTGGACAATGAACAGAGTGACACATATCTGATCAAGATATTTATAGAACTAAATGCTTTTAATAATATGTGCATTTTAGGTGTTAATTGTTTCTAACCAAATGATGGTGTTCACAATATCTTTCTTATTTTCTTGATTATGACAGTTTGCAGTAGGAGATAGAATTATGATCCATGATCTTTTGAAATAGATATTTATGGAAACTCAGTCTGTTATGAAATAGAGAACAGGTATTTTATTGCTGATTACAAACTTTACTTTTTCACAAAAAGGTTCTTCATTGTGTAAAATGTTATTTTTCATGATGATATGTTGCATATAGTGCCATACTCTCTGCTTAGCACATTGAATTTTCCAGGCGCATGCTATGTGATCAGTAATTTTGGTTGGATGTGTTTTGCTAAACTTGAGAATCATTAAAGAAATCGAGGTGACACAACCTGGAGAGCAGAGTACTGGAATGCTCAAGGAAGCAAGATGAGAGGAAGAACCAGTGAAGATTCCAGCCAGACATGCTTCATTTGCCTGTTCTGCAAAGCTGTGTTGTCTGCTAATGAAAGATGCACCTGCCTCCCTGTTCCAGAAGGCTCCTAGGGAAGCTTTATTCTGATTGAAATGCTTGGTTTGTTGTTTTGTTTTTGTTTTGCTCTTTCTTTCTTTCTTTCTTTCTTTCTTTCTTTCTTTCTTTCTTTCTTTCTTTCTTTCTTTTTTAGGAAAAGTCATTTAGAGAATACTTAGATAATTGAGTGAGGTGCTCTCTTGGGACTCTTTAGTTGTGTGATTCCAAGAAAGCTGGTCATTACCAACAAATTAAGGCTTGGCAGTTCTAGCCAAGAATGCTTCTTAGTGTTCACAGGGAGGAACTGAAGTATATTATGAATGAGTCCAAGTTGGTGGAGAGAGCTTGGGGTTTCCAAGATATTTCCTCAGTCTTGTCTGATTTTATTTAATTAAAATTTCTTCTTTTGGTATCCTTTTGGGACTCCTAATGAAGAAGAAACCATCAAACAGAGGCTAATTCATTTCAGCCTAGTTAGGTTCTTTCAATAATTCAACACAAGTTGAGCCCAGAAGGGAAGAACAGGAATCCCAAAGGGGAAATGGAGTGAACTATTTGGCTGCTGAAGACAGAGTGTGAAAGGATAGTAGGCAGCTTCCCCCTTAGGGTATGCTGGAAAGAACTCTGAAACCCTTAGTCTTTTCCCCCTATGTTAATATGTTCCTGAAATTCTCAAAGGCAGAGCAACTTTCCCCGAATCACAGCATACACCAGCAACACAGCAAAAAAACTCCCACTTGGTTTACTTGGATGTGTTACATTCAAATATATCTGGCTCTTTCTCAGTGAGTTCCCAGAGTGCTACAGCTCTTTTGCCCATCATTGCCTCAGAAGTCCTGTTACAGCTTCGGCCTTCCACAAGAGTTTGTACTCCCCTATCCTCAAGCTCTCCTCTTTTCCATCAGTCAGGGATATTCTAAACTTGTATTTTTAGAAACAATTTCTTATATAAATACATTGAAAATTGTAATAAGAATAGATTTAATGGTGATTTTCTGTAAACTTTGAATTCCTTTTCATATTTAACTTACTTTAATTTTTTCTCCTCCAATACAATTTGCAATTCTCCAAAAGTTCTGGTAATTGTTCTCTCTCTCCAAAACTGACATCTAAGCCTCACACTGTGGAGGTCAGAATTTTATTTTGGAGCTCATGAGCTCCATGACTTCACTGGCTTTAATGAGACCTGTTGGTTATGAGACAAACTTTTCTTTGAAACTTTTGCTCAGTATCAAACCCACTATTTTTAGGATGGGCTTCCAAAACCTTCACTGATTGATTGCTTTCTGCATTAGGGGCTTCTCACTGTCCATGTGTTTCTGTGTGCATGAACATTCTATAACTCTGCTGTTGTGTTCTGTACATGTGCTACAGATACAGATGGATCTGTAAGTGATGGGCACCCGTGTTCACCTCCTTTTCAGATTCATTAAATATCTGGTCCATTCTCAAGTCTCCCGAGGGAACAGAGAAAATAAGTGTTGAAATGTTGAATGCTTTTAACTGAAACAGTCAAACCTGGATGAGAAGTCTGTTTTATTTTTTTTCAGATGGGAAATGATCATGTTTGAAAGCAATCTTCTATTCAGTGACTAGACATTGATATTGCTAAGCAGTCGTCATACCTCTATTCAATGTTTTCAGATATATTCAACTTGAAGCTCACTCTGAGGGAGCTATTATTTTCTGCAACTGATTCCTAGACAAACTCAAGAAGCATTGCCTAATATTTTGTGTTCTTAAACCTTCTCATGGTGCTCACTGGTGCCTTGCAAACAGGCACAGCATGAACCTATGTCCGGGTTTCTCACAGCGCCTTTGGGCACTAAGAACACTGGCTCCATTCAAGGGTCTGGGGACTTCTGTATGGAGGGATTGTGTCAATGGTTCCTGCCTCTAGTCTTAGTGGAGTTCCAGAAGCCTTAAACATGAACACTGTGAGAAAAGGAGGCCTTCAAGAGATTGGAAGAAATGTTAGTGGAAGTATATCCTTGCTCATATGTAGTGCTGACTTCAATAATGCTTGCATGCCTTTTTTTTTTTTTTGAGACAGTGTTTCTCTGTGAAGAAGCCCTGGTTGTCCTGGAACTCACTCTGTAGACCAGTCTGGCATTGAACTCACAGAGATCTGCCTGCCTCTGCTTCCCAAGTGCTGGGATTAAAGGTGTGTGTCACCACTGCCCAACACACACCGTTTCTAATAAACTATGCATGTTCATCTCCTCATGCATTCCTGTCAGGAGGGAACTTGGAATTCCCATTAGGCTAGGGACATTGTGAAACAGGGTCAACTATGGAAAACTTATGAAAAATTAGGTGAAGGGAAGTCTGGGATGGAAAATAAAAACACAAAGGGCTGCGAGACAGAAATATGAGCTAATTGAAAATCATTGAGAATTTAGAAACACCTAAAAAAGGACTGACCCTTTAAAGGGAATGTTTCTCACCTATTTTTGATGTTTATATTCTCACAAGCAAACTCAGGAAATACTTCTACTAGTCATTGATTAATAAGTCTCCAGCCATCAGAGTTGATATACTACCAGTTTCAATGCAAAGTTTACTTAACTGTTGATCACTACTAGCCCATGGGATTCTCATCTAGAATATTCTCATGTAAGAAATACATTTAAGTTGAGCCTAAGTAAAATCTTCCCCAGAGGCTACTTGGGATCCGTAGCTACTCTTTATATTTTTGGAAGTGCAAAAACTCTGCTCTATTCATTCCTCTCTAAAAACACATAATCTCTCTTGTCACTGAGAAGCCTTCAGGACAGAAGCCATAATAAAATGTCGAGAGTAGACATTGGTCTTAAGTTAATACAGAAGCAAAATTTGTACTAGAATATTTATATATCCATTTAGCTTCTGGATTCCACCTGCTTCCAAATCACATAGTTTCTTGACAGTGTGAGAAAGAAAATAGAAATTGCTTACCTAAATGTAAGGGAAAAATTGAAGCTGGTAATTGAGAAAAACCTCAAGCTTCATGTTTTCCACTCTGCCCACAGCTTATTATTTCTGCCAGTTTTTAGACAATAATACAATTAGTAAAAATGGAGAAATCTGAAGTCCATGCGGCTAGTTCCACAGATAAAATCTTCCAGGTAACAGAAGTAGTTTTCTTCAACAGAAAGGTAGACTGTAAAGGGACAGTAGGTAATGCAGAAGGTACTATGCCCCTGCGTTGGTGGACTATGTGCTATCTTGATGAGACAGTGCAATGAGTTGATGCAGTCAATACTGTATGGAAGCTATTGCTCACGGTTGAGCTACCCAAGTTCAACAAGTTCTGTGTGGATTAAGCCTAATGTCCTTTAAAGCAGGTGATTGTCGTTGCTCATCATTGGCTTCATAGCCACTAGGTGACACTGTTGTCTCAAGAGTTAGTGTTGGAAAGCACCAGGGTCTTTTCAAAGGTTTCATTTTGTTCTTCCAGACAAATTTGCTGGAGATCACAAAGCCGAGAAGTAGCAGAATTAGAATTCAAGCCTTCATTGGTGCTATGCCCCCTCACTGATAGAAGTGGTATCTGGTTACAAAGCATGCAAGTGGATAGGAGAGAACCTGCACTTTGCAATTGTATCTCAAGTCCAGTTTACTATACCATGATACTGGGGATACACATGTAAATTGTGTTTCGAAAATGACTTCTCCAAACTGCATGTTCAGTACAAATATTTGAATTTCAGATTAGCTACAAATTTCGTAAGTACATCACAAAATTTCATGAGACATTCCTGCCATAAACCTATTCCTTGTGTTTTTCAAATTTTACTAGGCATGTATTTTACATTACCTGACAATGCCACCTTAACTATTTTCTAACTAATCTGGGAAGTTTAACTTCACTGTCCTTCACTCACTGTCCTTCTGCTCTGTCCTAGGTATTCTCCCTTCTCTCCATTTCCCTTGCTTTCCCGTGTGAGCATACTGCCAATGGCCTTAAGGGCTGCTGTTGCAATTCTGTCTTTTATACTTCTTCCTGTCTCTCAAGCAATTCTCTGTCCATCACCCATGTTCTAGCATCATTTTCACTCTTTTTCTGTCATCCTTTCACATCTGATATAACAATTATATACTTCTGTCTTAAAAATCTTCCAGCTGCATTACACTTACGGAAAGAGTAGTCATTATGTTTCTTAGCAGTCTTTTCTCTTCAGCCAAATGCAGTCTGTTTTCTTTAGCCATTACTATAGTAAAACTGTTTTACTCAAGGTCACTTAGCAACTTCTTAGTTGTTAAATTCCATGCTGCTTTAATCACCTATATTCTCTTTCCTAATCCCTCCCTTTTAAAAGTGTTCCATGTCAAATCCTTTACTCATATTATTTCTCTTCATAGTATTTATCATGAATTCTTTTCCCCTTCTTGTGAGTGATTGCATGATTGCTGATTTCTCTCATAACGGTATCATTAAAAACAAAATCACATGAAATGTTCCTCATTAACACTCTTTGATTGGCACTGTTCATGAATCTCTCTACTTTAGGTTTTCAACCTGATTGTACTGTCAACTGAAGGAATAAGTTTCTTTAGACTTGTATTCTATTTTTCCTATTACTTTCTTGTGGTGGGATTACCTTTTCCTTCTTGGATTTAAAATTCATTTGGTAAATGGTAGTCACCATATTAGTATTGGGCTGTGCCTGTGAGAATGGAGACTGAGTGAAAAGAAATGCTTTCCTTATCTCATGCGTAGAGTGGGTCAGCATGTTCATAGACGGACTTATTGAGGACTGTCATATAGTCTTTATATTCTCATCTTGGAGCATTTTCTGTTCAGTGTACTGACTAGAATGTAGGAAGCTTCATGCATGCATTGCACCATATTCTTAATTTCAATTATCAACTCTTTGAAGGCCAGTTTAGAATTTGAGCTCTTGGCACTAAGTTTTAATTACTGTTAAAATCTCAACTGTGTTAAATTTCCTAAACTATAACATCTGTCTCCTCATTATTGGGACTTTGTAGGCTTGGCTTGTCTATAGAAGTTCATAGAGAGCTGATGTTATAAAACATTCTGATCATCCTGGACTCTTATAAGACATCCAATCAGAACAATGGCTTCAAATAGTAAGAATGGTTATGGAATAGAAAATAGATTGAAATTACCCTCTGAGTACAAGTTAATAGATACCAATAACATTTTTTCTTTGTTTCTAGAAGGATTGACAGGTGTATGAACAATGGGGGTACTGAACACATTAATTTTTTCTCACTTTGACACTAGTCTCAAAGTTCACTAAACTGTCATTTTCACAGATTGTACAGAGAATCACAATTTGTTAAAAGTGATTTATAGATAAAATGAGAGAGAATATTTCTGCTAACTCAATTGTTTAAATTAGAACTCCCAGAACAATAACCATAAATTCACACCATGCTTGTGGCCACTCCCACTAATACCTATGCCAGTCACCTTTAAAAGGTTATGCAAATTTTTTACCGAATATGATTGATTGCTTTAGAATTTATCTTGACATCATATATTCATTTGTTCAGTTTAAGAACAAATTCATTTGCATTGACACAGATGGAAATAGATTTGAGTTCTCATTAACTTCAGAGCCTAAGTAGATAGATTTACAGAAAATTACGATCTAGGTAAGATTGTTCACCCCAGGAGAAAATTCTTCATTCAAATTGAATAATAATGGGAAACGAGACCTTTTTTGTACTATTCCTTTATGTATTAATGTTTAAAGGCATATTAAAACCTCAGTTCAAAACGGTTGAAAGTCTCAAACATGATTCAAATTATCTTAGCAAGTGGTGAAAGAAATTTGTGAGAGCTAACAGTTAGAATTTATCAATGCCTCTCCCATGTGCCAAGCATTGTCCTTGGTGCCCACTTATCTAAATGTTCCTTTAAAAGACCTTGAGACGTTGGCATTTAGCTTCAGCTTTTCTTGCCAAAGCTCTGCTAGTTGGTTGTCTGGCTCCATAGCATAGCACTTCAAATGTTCTTTCTTTCTTTTTTCTGTATGCTCTTTTTGACATGAATAAACAGCTATATTCCTTGTAGGTTTATTTATTGCTTGAGCAGATGAATTTTTACTACCAGTAATATATGGGCTATTGCAATTAATATTGCAATTCATATGCAATGTAAACTTTGAAATGTCTAGTGTAAATTTCAGTTGTGCCATTAATTAATGAGGGAAATAAAATATCTGGTGCTTTACTTATTTGCTCTTTCTAGAAATGAATGAAATTCTCTGTTCAAGATCTAAAATGTACTGAATTTTTATTGAATTAAAATGGCTTGAGGACTTCTCTATATTTTAAAGCTTTATTTATTTGTTATTTATTTACTTTTATTTTATGTAGATGTGCATGTGCCTGTGTAAGGTTATGTGAACCACATGCACGGTGTGGTGCCCGGGGACCTGAGAAAAGGGCATCGAGTCCTCTGGAGCTGGAATTATGGGCAATTATGAAAATCTTCATGTGTGTGCTAAGGAATAAGAGACCAGTAGTTCTCTTAACCATCTTTCCAGCCTCTATTTCTCTCTCTTTCTATATGTATGTTGTGCATATTTAAATGATCGGTAAAATCATTTATGCTCTTTATATATTACTTTAATTTCACTGTCACCCAATTTCGCTTCTGTAGACAACATGAGTCCTGAGAGGTTCTAATTATTGTTTTAAGTATTGTTTTGGGAGTTGTACATTACTTATAGCTCATGTCTGATTTATGTTGCCAATTGTGTAATAGAAATTGTCAAGTAAAAACAAGCTCAAAAGAAAGAATATATTTTGTGATTTTAAGGTCTCAAGAAAGTCTAACTATGAGTACTCTAACTATTTACTAAATGACCACTTAGTCTAGAAAGCTAGACATCATGAAATGTTAAGTCAACACACAGAGGCAGAAGTGAAACTGTTCAAAACATGAATTTATTGTAGATCTGGGCTTATGTAAAATTTGATCCAGAAAAATCCCTTTGGATCATTGGAAAAATAGCTGCAATAAAATGGCACCATTAAGAATGATTCTTTGCAACAAACAAACAAACAAAAAAGAATGGTTCCTTGATTCCCTCATGTCCTCCTCTCCCATCTTCTTCTCCCCTTCTCTTTGAGTCAGGGGAAGAATAGAGGCAAGCAAGAAAAGAGATATCATAATAGAGGGAGCCATTACAGGTTTAAAGAGAAATCTGGCACTAGGGAAATGTCCAGAGACCTACAAGGATGAACACAACTAACAATCTAAGCAATAGTGCAGAGGCTACCTTAAATGCCCTTCCCAGATAATGAGATTGATGACTACCTTATATACCATCCTAGAACCTTCATCCAGTAGTTGATGGAAGCAGAAGCAGATACCCACAGCTAAACACTGAACTGAACTCCTGGAATCCAGTTGTAGAGAGGGAAGAATGATGAGCAAAGGGGTCAGACCAGGCTGGAAAAAACCCACAGACAGCTGACCTGAACAAGAGGGAGCTCATAGATCTCATATAGGACGGAAACCAGCATAGGACCCACCAGATCGTGGGTATCAGTTAGGAGGCCTGGACAATCTAAGGGGCCTCTGGCAGTGGATCAGTATTTATCCCTAGTTTACAAATGGACATTGGGAGCCCATTACACATAGAGGGATACTCTCTCATTCTAGACACATGGAGGAGGGCCTAGGCCATGCTGCAAATGATACTACAGACTTTGAAGATCCCTCATGGAAGGCCTCACCCTCCCTGAGGAGCAGAAGGGGAGTGAGATAGGGGATTAGTGGGGAGCAGGGGAGGAGAGTAGGGAGAGGGAACTGGAATTGATATGTAAAAAAGGCTTGTTTCTAATTTAAGTAAATACACACACACACACACACACACACACACACACACACACACACACACACAGACACAGGGAATGGTTCTTTGGCACTGGGACTTGCAATTTACTTATAAGGAAATAATAAGTAATAAGAGCTTAAATCTTATACCAAGCCTTTTCTTTTCTTTCTTTTCTTTTTTTATTTGAATAAGAAACAAGATTGTTTTACATGGCAATCCCAGTTCCCTCTCCCTCCCCTCGTCCCCTCCAACCCCCCTCCAACTAAAACCCTACCTATCATATATCCTTTCTGCTCCTCCTGGAGGGTGAGGCCTTCCATAGGGTGTCATCAGAGTCATACCAAGCCTTTTCTTCAGTGTTGTTTGTTGTAATGAAAATCTTGGAGGTAACCAAAGTGTCCGTTCCTTGAGAGAGAAGCATGTGTAGCATGTGTACCATGGTGCATCTTTGAGGAGGGTTGCTGATGTTCTCATACATTCCTAGAGACACACATAGTAGACCATGATGCCTAAACTATGCAAAGTAAAACATTTCATAGAAGAAATCAAGATATCAGCACAGAAATTGAAACTAGCAATATGCGTATGAACATATTTGCTTATTCAATACTTCCCTGTATCTTCAAAAATCTATTTCATATTAGTAATTTAATTACTTAATTGGAAAAATGAAGAAAAATGTTGGCAAAAGTGAATTCTTATCCAAGTGCCAGCCCTCTCTGCTTTACAAAGCCATGATGTTTTAAAGTTGAAACAGGAATGTTAGCTTTACATTTTTGATTGATTGAAATACTGGGAATTCAATCTAGGGCCTCACACATACTAATCAAAGCGTCTATTCTTAAGCTGTATCCTTGGGTCTCCCTTCACTTTTCTGTTTTCAGAGAGGGTCTGTCTCACTAAATTGTCCAGGCAGGATTTGAAATTTTAGTAATCCTCTTGTTTCAGATTGTCATTAACTCTGATTAGAAACCTGTACCACCAGTGTGCCTTGAGCTTTGCCTTTGACATTGGGACCTAGTGTTAAACATATACATGAGAACAGTCTGATCAGTGTCGACTTTGTAAGCCACCATTCTGTGTTTATACCTGCCTGTTGATGAAACTATTAATGTTGGAAGGAAGACTCTTACAAGAATTTAGAGTCCTGGGTCTTAGCACTGCCTTATACCTTTTGTATTAAAACTCAAATGATCACCTTCCAGAAAGCTATAAAAATGACTACAGTGCAGTTTGAGTCCTTGTAATTAGGGGTGGCCACAAGGTGCTATTTCAACTTCATGTGCTAATGAGGCAAGATTCATACTGATTGAATTTTCCTTAAAAGTAAGTCAAACACTACTTATTATGTGAGGGAAATTCATGTTGAGGGACTGACCCTTATTCAGAAATATGGGGTTTATGGAATATTTTATTCATTTTCCTTCTGAGAAATATTAAGTTCCAAATAATATCTTTTTTCTTTATGATTATTATTCATTCCAAATGGAGGCTATGTATCCAGAGGGAGAGTTAATGGAATCATTGGGCAAATCTCTCTTCTTTTTTCTATTTTGAATTTTCATGACTGGTGAAGACAGTATACTTGATTTGATATGAATCCTTAAGGTTTCTTTTAGACACAATTTTAAAAAAACATTATTTGCCCCTTCCCAGTTCTGTCTAAAGAAATTTTATTCTAAAATACAGGTTCTAGTAGATACGCTGCATGGCCTTTTTGGCATGCATTGGCAGAAGGAGAATGTCAGGTGTCCTGCCTTAGACAGGGTCTCTCCCTGAACTTGAAACTAGGCCGCTAGTCAGAAACCTCCAGGGATCTGCCTATATTTTCCCTACTACAGCATTGTGGCTGTCATCAAACATTGTCACATATATAAAGTCACAGCAGAATGAAAAAAAATTGAGGGTAAAGGAAGAGCTTGGCAAGTTCTATTTAATCAAATGCAGTGAGTTAATCAAAGACAGTGAGTTAAGCACATTATGGAGATCAATCTTGCTCACTGTTGGTGAGCTCACTTTTGGACTGGTTGGTTTGTTATGAGAAAACATTGTGGAATTCAGGACTGCAATTGACTTACATGTGTAATGGTATTTAGGAAATGAACAGCTGCTAGGAAAAACAAAGAACTATTTTCAGAAATTGTAGCACTGAATGAATTAGTCTGGAAGCTGAGAGTCTGTAATCTAGTACAGAGGTTAGGATGAAGACCAAAGAGTAGAAATCTTAAAGAGTGGGTCTTGGCTTACCAATTAGGAAAAAATGTTCTAATAGTCAGGTCCAAAATTTGGAATAGGCTGTTTTTCTAAGCTTGTTAACTTTAGTCATTAAAATTAAAACAATTTGGTTAAAATGGGCTATGCCAATCTATATAAAATTTGCCTTGATTAGAAGATGATACCATGTTTAATTGATGAGAAAAGTTGACCCCTCTTTGTGGAGTCATCTCAATGCCTGTTGTGTGGTGTGGTGAATGGAGAAAAGCTTTCATCTCTGCCTTCCCCTTCCCCCTGTAGATCAAGTCTTATGCAGTGTGTTTTTATTAGAAATGCCATAGATCAACTTCATGTAGGAGACATGAGTTAGAAACTGATGTTATCCATGGTTTGTAAGTCTGTATTTCCAGGACAACTTGGGTACATATAAATGCTTTAGGTCCCCCATCCCTGCACAGGTGAGGCATCATGCCCAAATCAAAAGTCAGATGCCAGTCTTTACTTGTGTCTCTCAGAACTCAGTAAATGTGATCCAGTTTATAACCAGCTTAATATTTCCCCACAGACTCTGAGCTCACTCAAGCTTGTCCCAGTTCCCCAATGCTTCAGGATTGCCTTGAACACTCTCAATGCAAACCCTACACCCCTGTGAAGTCTCAAACCACTAGGGTGGCTGCCTCTCTTGTGCCTTCTCCTTCTCCTCTTGTGCCTTCTCCCTCTCTTGTGCACATCCTGTTTGGGCTTTTCCCACTCCACAAGCTAGATCCTATAATATAAAGAAAAGGACTTCTGTTAAAAAAAGAACATTTCTTAGATTTTGAAGAGCAAGGAGAAGTAAAGCCAGCAAATGACGGGGGATGTCCTTCTGTATGCTGTGAATACATGTTTCTCTTATTGCTTGGTGAATAAATGCTGATTTGCAAGTAGCCAGACAGGAAGTATAGGCAGGGCTACCAGACTAGGAATGCTGGGAGGAGGAACACAGAGAGGAAGTGTTCTTGGGGTGGGTGGCGAGGGAGATACATTATGTAGCCGCTGAAGGAGTGACATGCCAGGGTACTACAGGTAAGCCATAGCCTCATGGCAATAAATAGTTTAATAGAAATGCGATAATAATTAAGAGAGAGCTAGCCAAGAAGAAGCCTAAGCCATCAGCCAACAGTTTATAATTAATATAAGCCTCTGTGTGTTTATTTGGGTGTAGAACCAGGTGGGACAGAAACTCTATCTATCATCAAGTAAAGACAAAAGCTCCCCATATTTTCTCCCTATTATGTCCCCTTGTTTTCTCTCCGCATACTGTCCCTCTTCTCTTAGAGCACAGTGGGGCAATTATGCTGCAACAGATAGAGTGATCCTTGAGCCATTTCAGGAAAACTGCCACATTCATGATTATCTAGTGGAAGCTATGTCTACAGTTTCTTCCACTAAATCATAAGGGGAAAGTCAAAGAAAATTACATGAATAAGTCCTACTCATAATGAATTTATAATATAAGGGAGATGTAAAGGAAGAAAATAATATATCATGAAAATGACTCAAGTTCTATACCTGTGAAGGCTACCTGAGTATAGCTTGACCAGAATGCTGGGGGTCCAGGAGAGTTCATGGAAGATGAAGATTTTAGTAAATATTTTGAAGATGTGAAGGAGAAGAGCACATGACTAGGGATGTCAGTCTGTGGTAGCCTGTGAACTTTTACTTGCTGGAACACAGGGTCTGGGTAGGATGAGAGGAATTTACCCCCAGTGATAATGAAATCTCCCTGTTCCTGAGCATACTACTCATCGTGTGTATTAATTTACCCATTTTTTTTTTTGGCCTGGAGAACGTTAGTTATACCTTTTCCTATTTCCTACATTAAATATCTCCTAAAGTCCTAAAGTATAGACAACACTATATATAACACTATATAACACTATATACTATATAACACTATATAACACTATATATAACATTATATAAGTATAGACAACTACTATATCCTTCCCCTCCTCCTCCACAGTGATTGTGTAATACGTACAAGTTGAATTAGAGTTTATGGTAAGCTAGTTGGAGCAGTGATTTTGAAAGCGCAAGTACATTGCTTTTGTTAATAAATTTGAGTTTAATGTTGGAAATGACAGAAATTTAAACATGTTTATGATGTTATAAAATGATGTTTCAGGAAGAAGAACTTTCCTGTTGGTCCATATCTGAAGTGGAAGACAATCAGAGAATCTTTTGATGGCTATAGGTGTTCACTGGACATTAAGGGAAGAGATGGCCCATACGGGTAGTATATGATACTGAACATTAAACTACCTTTAGTCACTGGAACTTTCAAATAAATGTTCTTAGTCTTATTGAACTTCATGGGCTGGCCAAGTACTTGGAGAATTTCATGTGGGTGAAGAAATTCTTCAGCAAGCTTTCTTTGTTTTCTACTGATGATTATTATTCTGACTGATAGCATGCTGTGGAGTGAGGTTTTGGCAGGCTCTAAATAATGTGTCTGCACACAGGAGTGGGAAAAAAGGAAGTAGAGCTCTAGATTTAAACTTTAGAAAAGAGTTATTCTCTTAGGAACTGTCTGATGAACCATCTAAGAACTAATCTTACATACAACTCTACCTCCTTCAGAGCAGAAATGTTTTAGGACAATTGCTGGCACTGATACAATATAGGTAGTTCTGTGTAGATTCATTTTTATTCACAAAAGACCTGTTTAGGTGAATTATTTGTGTCTAGGATTTAACAGAAACATAAAAATTGGAAATTATAAAATAGCTTCAGTGAAGTTTTCAATGATTTTTCTTCTCTTTTTTTGTTTTTGCAGTCTAGGTTTGAATTTATAGCCTAATTTTTTAAATTTCATGTTTCTCTTTGTTAAGAAAGTAATATGCAATGTGTGTATACATAGTTCCTGACTTTCATTGTGCATATATGCTGAGTAGAGTGTGTGCAATCAAGGGAGAGATTTCCACTCAGGAAAGAAAGCCAACCTAAATGTCCTATTGTGTTGATTTGCATTTGTCTTCTGAGGCTATTTTTAAATCAAATAATAAGTTTAAAATGCCGAAATTTACAGCATCCTCTCAGAATGAGATTCCCTCTTCTCTCTCCTTTTCCCTCTTTTTATTTCCTAGGGATTGAACCTAGGGCCTCATGCATGCTAGGGAAGAACTATCCCACTGAGATTCATCTCAATCCTAATGAGACTCCGTCTCTAGAAATCTTTAACCTGACACTGAGTTAGAAATGCACTGAAGTGTTACAAATAATGTGATACTAGAAAAATGCAGAAAAAGTCCATGCATTCCATGCATTGTGCATCTATTTATATATTTAGGATTCGTGGAATATTAAAAAAAGTATTGACAAGTGCATACAAAGCAAGGGATTGCATTTTTGAAGCTGATAAAGTAGCTCTTCCACTTAATATAAGTAATGGGAGAAAGTGTAGCAGGGGTCCTTTTAGAGAATCCGCTGATCTAAATTCTTCCTGTTCTAATAGCTTCCAGCATCTGATGTCTAGTCTCTGGACAAATGGACATTAAAAAGCATGGCAACAAGCCACATGAATGCTTTTCTTTCTGTTGGCTCCACAGTTTTACTTAGAATATTGGCGTTTTGGGTTAATTCCAATGGTTCAGATCATAATGCAGATTTCCAACAGATCTGGAGGCTGTGGGAAACAGTAATACAATAAAATCTTTGACAGTCTATTCTGTTATAAATTGTAACACTCATTCTTAAAAGGAAAACACTCTCAGCATTATGTCAACAAAAGACAGTATTACACACACACACACACATAAAGGAGTGCCACTTCAAACAATAGTTTTAATGATACTAAATTCTTCAATAAATTTTTACTTACAACGACATAAGTATGTTAATTAAAAACTTAGAGAAACAATCAGTGAAAAATGAATGATCAGAGACAGGAAGAAAAATAAACTCCAGCCACAACTATTTGCTCATTGTGGTACTTATTTCTTTAGCCCAGGAGATGAAATTTCAGTTTGTTTATATGAACTAGCTAGTCTCTCTCAGATGGCACAGTGGCTTTTTTTTTTTTTTTTGTATGAATGAAAACTTGGTGTCCCAGAGAATAAAATGACAAGGATTCATGTAGTCCCCTATCATGTTTCTGACTTTTGTGGAATTGGCAATTTATAGACATGTTGAAAATATACACCTCGAAGAAGTATGGCTGCAGTTTCTGAGCGTATTCTGTACAGCAGATCCCTCTGGCCATCATGACTGCTTTAGCTTGTAGGGAGACACTGGGCTGGCTAGATGCTTCCTGGTTTCATTAGCATAGTCCCGCCCACTTCCAACACACGCCCAGAACTACCTCATTAACCATTGGGAATGCAGCCAAAAACATAAGACGACAGTGAATATAAAGGGAATTACTGGCAAGGGAGCTGTAACCATCTCACCACTGAACCCATTACTTTTCCAAGATCAGAAAAGTATTACTTTAGCAGGAATCATTTCTTTATTCAGATAAGAATTCAAGGTTTGGGTCATGAATTTTTATCTAGAACAAGTAGCTGAACCGTAGTAAGGCATACAGCTCAGTTGCATCCATTTATGTTTTTGCAATCTCTCTCGCTCTGTCTCTCTCTCTCTCCTCTCTCCTCTTTTCTCTCTCCCTCTCCCACTTATTATTTTCTGGATAGCTTTGACATTGTAAACCACAGACAGATTGGAGCCTGGCTTTGAAAGGAGGTGTTCAACAACGTTTATTTATTTTTTAATTTTTTTCCCCTGTCTGAAGAAGTTGACTACCACAGGAGGGGCTCCGAAAAATGACAGGAGCAAAGAGGAAAAAGAAAAGTGTTCTGTGGGGCAAGATGCACACCCCACACTGGGAAGACATTAAACAGTGGTGTAAGAGGCGCCTACCTATTTTGGAATGGGCTCCACAGTACAACCTGAGGGAAAACCTGCTTCCAGACACTGTATCTGGGATAATGCTGGCAGTTCAACAGGTGACACAAGGTAAGTGTTGCATTTGAGTTTACAGTTTTATGCAGAGTGCATGTTGCTTTACTTCTTGGGTGGGGATTATGATCTAGTCATGACAGTCTAGCTAATGAAACAGACTTTTAATAAAAATGGATATTAGTGTTAGGAAAATAAGCAGAGTAGATGTTTCTGTGTAAGACTTTCCTAATTGCTTTTAAAATTACTTGCTTTTGGGGGGGAGGGCTAAGAATTAAGCAATTAAGCACCAACCCTTGAATGGATTTACATATTTTGCAATGTTAAAGTTTATACTGATTCAGAGTAAAAGATCAGTAACTGTGGAAAAATGAGCTCTTATAATTAAACTGTGCTGACATAATTTCCTACCTTCATCGAATCAAGCTATAAAGATTTTCCTGTTTTGAACACAAATCACCTCTGAGCCTAATTAGCACCACACACTTACCTGCTGTAGCCCTGGGACTTGCTGTAAGCAGGGAACAAAGCTCTTAGTACATAAAGAAGGGGCAGTGCCAAGATCACTATTTGCAAAGAGAATCTTACGTCCTCAGAGTGTGTGTAGGCTGCGTGTATCTGTTTACTTCTGCAGTGCATTTCCTGCAACATTTGTGTCTCAGTGAGAAATGTAACATGGGAAGAAATCCGACTTCTAACTTTCCCAGAACAAATTAAAGAAAAAAAAAAGATGTTTTGGGTTGATAGATGGTGTGTATGTGTGTGTGTGTGTGTGTGTGTGTGTGTGTGTGTGTGCCCTAAAGGTAAGTTCACACAGGTTTTGGCTAATTCAGGTAATAATTTTCTACCTGTGACCTGGAAAGGAACTGATTTCTGGACTTGCCAGCTTTAAAACTTTGGAATAGTTTTCTTGGCAAAGACTCATTGGTATTGTATTTCCATGAGGTCTCACTACCTCCCTGGCTTTAACTATTATTTATTCTGTTCAATTATAAGCGTGCTTTTAATGAAATTATTCTGTAGCTGGAACAAACTGGTTTGGGTATTTGTGTTTTCAGGCTGATTAGTAACATCTGCACAGGGGCCTTTAAGAACTACAATGCTATCATACTTTATGGGGTCCAACTTTACTGCTTAACTCTGTGTTGTAGTTTTAATGACCATTTTGCTTACAGCAAAGCATAGTAATCTTTAAAAAATGCAAAGTTAATAACAGGTTATGACATCTCTAGGCTTTTTTATATTTGATTTTGAATTCCAGATGAAACACCACATCACTTGAAAACTTGGGTGATGGACTTAAAACAGGTTTCCCCTTCCAGACTGGATAGTTTCACCGTATCTCATAAATTTATTTTGCAGATATTTAATGTAAAAAGAAAGAGGAGTAATTATGACTTTAGCAGTACTTGTCTTTTTATTTTTGAAAAACACCAAGTGACCAAGAACATTTGGGGACTCATCATTTGGATATGGCTTCTATGTAAGTCTTTGATAGTTAGCTTTGTTTAGCTTTTGAGTGACTCGGTGTAATGAGTCGTGTGTTACATTGATTAGGAAGGAGTGCATGGGTAAGTGCCCAGCTGGTGAAGAACAGAAAGCTTACTCAGCTCTGATACCATGAGGAGTATGGATCAGGCTTCTCTGTCTCTTGTAAATGGACAGTTACACTGCTAGGAAGAATGTAAATGCTTTTTGTGTTGTAAGAAAAGATGAACTCTTCTTCAAAGGACATTTTACAAATGCATTTCTCAGTCTTTTTCAATCTTTTCTACTCTGAATAGTTCAAAGGTAAAATATTATGAACCCACCATGTCTTGTTAGGGACCCAGTATTTAAAAGAATCCAGAGTTAACATCAATCTTTCCATGGAAGGAAATGGAGGCTTAATATGGTGGGGTCAGGACTTGAGTCCAAAGCCAACATGCTCGACATTTGCACTATATACTCTATACTGCCAAAACCATCAGACTTTCTAACACCAATGTTATTTGTAATAGGAGACATCTCTTTAGAAAAGTCTCAGTGCCTTTCTCTTCAAATGAGGTCTGTTTTGAAGTTTCATTCCTGAAGTTTTAGAGTCAAAGCAGAAGTGAGCAGAAAAGCACATCAAGGAGGCCATGCAGACAGATTTCGTATCTGCTGGGTGCTGATGCTTGTTGTCCGAAATGTCTCTAGGGAGATTAGAAGAAGGGAGTAATGAAGTTTGCTTTTGTCTTATGAAGTAGTGTTACAAACAGATCCCTTTGGACTTTACTGACATACAGCAGTCTTTAAGTCATTTAACACAGTCCAATTATAAGGTATTTCTGAATTCAATGTCTTTTACCCTATACATCCTGAAGAGTGATATGATTCCACCTAGAAATTATTTTTCTTTCTGTTTCTAGAAGTGGAGTCAAAAATCAAGATAATGTGAAGTATCTTGAGAAATACCACAGTCATGTTAAATTGTTTTATTAAAGACTTTCTGTGAGATAGATGTTAGTCATACACCTGGCTCCTCTGTCACAGTCCTTCCTGTGGACTGTTTTTAGGAACCCTTTTCTTCTGTTTCTTGTTTGTTTCTTTCTTTTTTTTGTCCTATTTATCAGGCCTTCTCACCTAATGAACCTCTGTAGACTTTGCCTCCTCTACTTCCTACCAAGCATCTTAGAGATGTTTATAAGACACCATTATCTTAGAGAGTTAAACCCTGGCCCCAGCTCAAAGCACTGTAGACAACTTCATCTGCATACTGGACTCTAACACTATCACTATGCTACAGACGCTTTCTTTTCAACCTGAGAGGCATATATTAGTTGACACTAACCTAGATGGTTCTAAAAACACACCGTTTGCAGACTGCTCACACTATCACTATGGAACCAACCTAAAAGTACTACAAAACGGAACATTTGGTCTTCTAAAACAAACACACTAGATAATATCACTATCCCAACCAGAATTACAGTAAGTAATAATAAAAAAAACCTTTTAGGTACAAATGTACAACATTGTCAAGAGATCTCTTGGCATATATACCAAAGAGGTTTAGAGGGGGTAAGAAAGTTGCCTGAAGCCACACAGAAAGTAAGTGTGAAAGGACATTTGACCTCGAGTATCCTGGCTCCTGAGTCTCCTGCTTGCTTTTGCACTCAGCTTTTTCTTAGAGAGGGTCCTATTTGACATTCTGCACTCTCCTCTCTCTCGTGCCACCATTAACTCCTGCTATAAGCCAGTCACCAGGTCTTTGATGTCTGCTCTCTAGCCATTGTTATGGAGTTTGTGAACCCAAGGGAAAGATCATAGACTCCATCCAAATATAATTAAAAGATTTATTGATTAGTTGGTATCAGGACAAACAATCTCTGAGCCAAATTTGAGATTGCCACGAAGGAGGGGTACAGGAAAGGACTTTAAAGGGGAAAACTACACAAAGACCTTCACAAGCAAGCAAAACCTGTTCTGTTCTGCCAAGTTAAGTGGTTAAAGCAACTCAAAACAATCTTTGGGTATCTGCATAAGCAAGTTACAGAACCAAAAAAAAAAAAAAACAAAACAAACAAACAAACAAAAAACCCCAAAACAAAGCAAAACAAAAAAACAACCAAAACAAACAAACAAACAAACAAAAAAACAAAAGCAGTTAGTCATAACAAAAGCAGTTAGTATCATAACAAATAGGCTATACATTTTTGGGTGGGAGTCACTGAGTCAGGGTTACTGGGAACTTATCTTCTAGGGACTGGAGTCAGAGACAAATGACTGGTGGGTACCAACATGGATGCCTGGAATAAAATGGAGCTTCTATAGCCATAGCATTTTTCCCACCAAGAAGCCTTGCTTCATATCTTTGCTGCTTCTTAATGGACTGAATTACTTAAATCATTGTCTTGTGGATCTTTACTGTCTGCTCTGCTGCCTGAAGATCTTATGTCACACTGGTGCCAGTATACTACTAATAAAAAGCAAAACCAGTATGACCATATTGCTGTGCATAATTCTTTTAATACCTGTCTATTTTCACTAGATTAGAAAATCGAATTACTCAGCATGTCTTATTAAATGGTTAATAATCTGTACCTCACTGTTTAAAGTTACACTAAAAGAGATCCCTCTCCATCTCCTGGGAGGAGGAATGTTTTCCTCCTCCTCCCAGTGTCCTTTTCACATATCTCTGTGATAGGCTTTATTTAATACACAGTATTGTAAACTTCTGATAGAGTTCTTTTCACGGTCTGTGAACTCTGGAAACAGTGTTCTCCTTTTTGTGTTCTTACCAAGCACAGGGAAGTAGGTTTTAAGTAAATATTGAAAGATTTAAGGCATTTCCTAGGTTGCCCCATTATGGCATGCTGACCCTGTAGGAAGGAAGTTGAATTCAATTTAAAGCTGATGCTTTAAGAACTACACCAGTAGTAAAAATGCATTAAAATGTGAGTAAATGGGTTCTTCTACTTTGTATCCTTCTAGACAAATCTGCTCAAGGCTGTTTTCTTTGTGCCAAACAATGCTGACTATTTAATTTTTCTTTTTAAAAATAACATTTTTGTTAATTCTTTGAGAATTTCATTAGTGTGTTTTGATCATATCCATTCCCCTCCTCCAAACTTTTCCCAGATACCCCCTCCCCAAATTCATGCCTTCTCTCTCTGTATCTGTCCCTGTCCCTCCCTCCTTCCCTCCCTCCCTCTTCCCCATCCCTCCTTTTCTTCATCCCACCCTCCTTTCCTCCCTCCCTTCTTCTCTTCCTCCATTCCTCCTTTCTCTCTCACTCTTCAACCCATCAAGTCCAGTTTTCATTGGCCAACCACTCAATGGGTGTGAGGCCTGTCCTGGAGTGTCAAATAATGTTATTAATTAATTTATTTATTTACTTATTTTTGTCCAACCAAAACTAAGAAGATGGATTTATCATATAAAAAATTCAAATACCTTCTTTTAAAAAAAGAAGGAGCATGTGACAACGTGGGCCCTATATTCCCATGTTGGGGAGCTGTTCCTCCTTGCACTTTGACATGGTAGTTCTTGAGTGTGCCATTTACTCACCCTCCCCGAATTCCCATCACCTGAGG